CGTGTCAACCGCACCGCTCAGCTTGGTGTTGTATCCTTACGCAAATCTCTATCCAGCATGAGTATTAGATGTTCAGACATGTTAATGATGACAACATGAATTACATATATCAGAAATAAGATTAAAAGCGTAACATCACACGAAATACACGACCAAAAAAAAGGAACTATTTTCTTACTGGTAATAACAGTCTGGTCCCTATCTGTTTAGTGAAGAAAAAACTGACTACAAAAATAACGGAAAAAACCACTGTATAAAAATTAGTAACATACCAAATTCCCTTGTATTTTTCTATTCTTTTTCAATTTACTTTAACAATGAAGTAGAAAACTTTTACATAAGGTAAAACCTATGTTAACTTGTTAAGCTCAGACCACTGAAAGAATTGCTTGTGTGTTTTACTTTACATATCGTGATGTTAAAATGGATGGAAATTAATGGAGACTGTGAAGTTACACTTCTCCCTCTCTACACCCATGGAACAGTGTGTTACTTTCTTCTCATCTATTGCTGGCTCCTCTGTCTCAGTGTTCCCTTCTCACTCCCCAAACCTGACACTTTCAATCAGTCCCCCAAACACTCAGGCTGACCTGCTTCTGTGGTTTCCTAACGTTATTCCCATAGTCCCCTACAACTTTAATAGTGGTCACTCTGAAGGCTCTGTACCTTTTTACTCAAGTCCCATTACTAAACAAGACATAAAACCTGTAACAGTATTTCTTAATATATTATTTAAAGCTTTTTTCCTGTACACTGCTACATACTCTTCGTACAGTACCTCACATTTGCCACTGGATCATGTGTAAGTTCAAGCACAGGTAGAAAGAAATATTTACAGAAGAATGATTTTGAAAACAGTTCCATAATGAATTCACAAGTATCTAAGAACCGAAGTCTGTTCCAATAACTTTTTCCTTGGCCCAATTCTGAAAAATAACAATCCACAGATATTATCTATTAAGTTTTCAGCATCAGCTAGAAAACATTTCAAAGGTTAACCTTTGACTCAAAGATGATCATCACACTCATCACAAGGCACACCTTCTCAGCCTACCTCAATTCTTTCTTTCAGTGAAAGCCTAACCTTCTGAATTCAATGACCATTTCTGTCAATAAGCATTTTTTTTTCAGAAATTCAACCTGTCCCTTTAACCATTTGAAAAAGCAAAAATAATGAGTGAACTAGCTACTGTGTTGAACAAAGTCCTGTATGCCATTCAAATCATGTCACAAGTCTAACAGAATTACTGTGTAAACATTAAGGATTGCTAATGGGAACTATTCAACCTTTTAACCTATCTTTAAAACACACAGCATGGAACAGAAAGTCAACTAAGCTGACTAACTCAATGCCAAATTAATTTCTGAGAAGATTTATTCAGCACTTCTTATGCTGAAGCCTCTAGAGAATAGAGGAACTCTGCTTTGTATATTGCAGCACCTACAGCTAAGCAATTTTGGATTCAAAAATTAGGGTTGGAGGGGTCTTGGCATATTATCAATTTCCCATATTGCCTCTTTCCCAATTCCTTTGCATAAGCTTCGGATATATTTCTCGCATATGCGCAATAATGTGAGCAACTGAATGTCTTCTAAGTGTAATCCCACCAATGATGGCAGGAAGTTACACTGAATAAATATAACCATAAATAGATCTTCAGTCAAAACTAACTTGCATCTCTAAGTAATCAAGGAAAAATTATCTTACGTTCAATCAGTTTCTGAATAACCTCATGTCTCTGTTCTTGCTTGCGATTATAACGTAAATAAACGCAGAGAGTTCGAGCAGCTGCTTTTTGGACTGGCAGGACATTCTTGAAAGAAATAAAGGAAACACAATTAAACATACCTGAAGGAATATGACTAAAAATGTATAAAAATTCTGGAAGTAGAAAAAAATAGCTAAAAATTAGCCTAACTTTATAAATTCTGGACTGAATGGAATGAAGCTTGGGGGAAGCTCAGATTGGACATTAGGAAAAGGTTCTTCTCTGAGAGGGTGGTCAGTCACTGGAACAGGCTCCCCAGGGAAGTGGTCACGGCACCAAGCCTGTCAGAGCTCAAGGAGCGTCTGGATGACGCTCTTAAGTCATATGGCTTAGTGTTAGGTAGTCCCGCGAGGAGCAAGGAATTGGATTCGATGATCCTTATGGGTCCTTCCAACTTGAGATATTCCATGATTCTACAATTCTGTGAAATTTTGAAATAATTGGCATAATGTAAAGGAGAATGATGAAGTTTGGCCAATTTATGAGACACCTACTTCTTTATTCCTG